GACAAGGAGAGCTACCTGGTGGATGATGTGGAGCCGCTCCCCATCCCCTTGACCGTGCCAGATACCGAGCCCATGTCGCGGGAGGAGCTGAACCGCCGGCTCAGCTGCGACGTCGAGATCGAGGTGAGTGCGGCAGGCCGAGATGAAAGCTTCAATTTCTGTGTTCTTGGCGGCTTGGGTTTGGGCGAGGTGATGAGTTTGGGATGTGTGAATTTGGGCTGTAGGATTGCAAGACGGTTTCGTACGAGTGGACGGGCAAGTGCCGGAGCTGCCAGGGGACGGGGCTGGTCAGCTACTTCAGGAAGAAGGGCAAGGAGACAATCTGCAAGTGTGTGCCATGCGCCGGCATTGGTAAGATGAGATTTCTCGAACTTGATTTCCTTACATGGTACAATATTGATGTTTTTTTAGAGTAAAACGTCTAGAGAGAACAAGGACAAAGGTGCCCAGAGCTTCTTACTGGTAGATCTATCATGCTTTTGCACAGTAGGTGGAACTAAAATCAAGACTTGAGCTTTGTGAAGATGTGATGTCATTGTGATGAACTACTAGTTGGACAGACAATATACTTTGTCATGCAGTAGAGCTGTTACTGGTGGAGGTGCAATTCTATTACAGATCATAATTATAAAATTACAACACTAGGGTGGTCCGAACTTTGAACCCCATGGCTAAGTTCACCTTGAGTTCCTAACCTTGGGCATTAGACATTGCTTTTTTGAGAAGAACCTTACATTGTCATAAATTGGACAGTATGTTTAGGAATAAACAACCTATTGCCAGTGGCTCTCCTAAGAGCTCCAGAATTCACTATTTTGGCCATATGGCATATCGATTTCTGTTTATGTTTTGTGTATTGACTACTAGTAATTGATTATAATACACCATCGGTTTTTGTATTGGAAATCTGTTCAGCAGTAGGTCTGAGTATTGACTGAATTGTCCTGTGAAATGGTGCTTATTCAGTCACAGAAAATATAACTCAAGTTTGTTTGCAAAGTTTGAGATCCTTATAATCTTTCACTAGTGGAGTTGCGTTGGTGTATCATCTCCCTGGTATTGTCTGAAGTAATATAGTTCATGGTTAGTGTCCTACAGAAAAATATGTACATGCGAATAGTTCTGGGGATATTCATATCAATGGTTCTCTGTTGTTCTAACAGACTGTCTTTGGTTTATACAAGTATACCACGGATGCTAATCGCACAAGAAACTAGAATGGACATGGTTGCAAGTTTTAGTTGGTAGGCATGATGACAAATTATCAATGTCATAGTAATAAATTGCTGAATAAACTGTAGATTTCTTGGTTCTCAGGACAATTCTGTGGTGATTGAATATGACATTTCTAGCTTATGCAATGAACAGTGATACAGGATAGTCCCTCAGCTCTTATCCTTGTGGGTTTACATACGGGGCATCTGAACTGAGCTAACCCTGTTAATTAGCAACAAGCATATGAATGATATAGTATATGCTAATGATCTGAAGACAGTAAATGTGCAGCAGTTCTTTTTTAAACAGGATTGTATTATAACGTTAATATATAGAGCAGCACATTAGCACCTTCCATGAAGGTGTAGAATACATCCTCAACATGCAAAACCTTACACCAAGCACAAAGATGCGAACACCTGAACAGGAAGATCCTGCAGGACGCAAAGTGTAGAAGGGTGTGGTCGAGTACCGAGTTGACCGCACCGAGGTCACCAATATTTGTGTCATAGGGACTGAAACTGACCGATGGCATTGGGGTGACAGGGCCTTTGCAACGGAGGATTGACGGACCTCGGTCACCGGCTTGACAATGCACCTTCCTGGAAGATTTTTTATGTGATTGCCGGCGAAGTGTAGGAAATGGAAAAGACAGAACCCTCGGTTAAGGGCGCGCGGATCAACGAATGACGGCATGGGCAAATACGGTGAAGACTGATGTGTTGACAACTGTTCTCAGGCGCAGAAAGTCGAGAGGAGCGCACCAGGCGTCGAGGCACTAACCACCAAGCAGATCTGGCAGTAGGGTGGTTGAACTGGCTGCTTGTCAGAGGCGAGGGGGGGTCTCGAGATGTGTTCAGTGGTGATCAGCAGCAGCTTTTTAGTGTGTCTGAGATGAGATACTAATGATAGTACATAAACTACAGAGTACAGACAACTCTTTATTATGTACCTCTAGGCATTTCACTGACAGACAATGGTAGAACTTGGGCAACTGTTCCCTAGATAGATATATTGCTCGACTATTTGGTTTAATTGTGTTGTCCTAGGGGGTGTTTGCCAGGGCTCCTCATGAGGGGCTCCTTCGGAGGAGCCGGAGCCGTTTTGGAGGAGCCACTCCAAACCGGCTCCGGGTCCTCTGTTTTTCACTGAAAAATGGCTCCTCCTACAAAACGTTTGGTAGGCTCTTCTGGAGGAGCCGGAGCCAGGGAGGAGCCCTACCAAACAGGCCTTTATACTTTTCACTGTTTCAAATGTTCCCATTTTTATTGTTATACTAGTCAGAAAAGGTTGTATCCTATGCAACAGGTGTTTAGGTGGAACCTTAGAAAGTTACCCATGGCCATTCAGTTTTAGAGCAATGGATGACGTTGATCAGTTAGGTGTCTTATTCACAGCCAACTTTTGACTGTAGGGGGTTTGCCTTGTATCATGAACACTACACAAGCTCATATCATCACCATGAATTCATGTTAGTGATACTTGTAGATATGCTTGTATAATTAATTTCCTCCATTGACTCACTGCATTCTTGCTTGACTAGGATCACTGAACACAAGCATGGTCCATGTCGCTGGTGGCTGCAGCCACATTTTCGTTGGAACTGGACCCTAGTAGACCCTAACTTCATGTCCTATGTCCTTTTCTAGACTAGCCACCACTCAATTCACACTCTTAAACCTTGCCTCAAATAAACTTTGAAGTACTAGATTCGAATATCAACAGTTGATCCATTTTCTTGTTTCAGTAATCAGTAGGGATTTCCTACTCACAGGACCACTTCAGTGATTTTCTTTTTAACTTGTACAGAACATGTACCATGGTAGATACTACATATAACCTCGCAGGGGATTTGAGAAATAAGGGAATGATATGTAGTACTGAAACACAAAGTACTGCCGCCTTACCTGAGATAAAACCCAGATGAATACCTTTCCCGATAGATGAAACCCCTAGTTTGTGAGTGTAGTTTCAACAACAACAACAACAACAACAAAGCCTTTAAGTCCCAAACAAGTTGGGGTAGACTAGAGTTGAAACCCAGCAGAAGCAATCAAGGTTCAGGCACGTGAATAGCTGTCTTCCAAGCACTCCTATCTAAGGCTAAGTCTTTGGGTATATTCCATCCTTTCAAGTCTCCTTTTATTGCCTCTACCCAAGTCAACTTCGGTCTTCCTCTGCCTCTCTTCACGTTACTATCCTGGCTTAGGATTCCACTACGCACCGGTGCCTCTGGAGGTCTCCGTTGCACATGTCCAAACCATCTCAACCGGTGTTGGACAAGCTTTTCTTCAATTGGTGCTACCCCTAATCTATCACGTATATCATCGTTCCGAACTCGATCCCTTCTTATATGACCGCAAATCCAACGCATGCATACTGTATTCATCATGCCTCCCTGCATGCATGCCATAGATAGCTGCCACGTATCCAGTTTCATCGATCCAACAGCCCACACGCGCCGCTCGGCTCTCACGTGCTCGGCTCCCGCCCAGGCTCTCTCGTACATGGTTGGTGGCCTGCGGCGTTGGATGTAGTTGGTCGGCAGCTTTATCTGGCGTGGATGGCAGTTTGCATAGACTGCGTGTGCATCCAGTATGCACTGGATTTTTTTTCCAGTTTCTGTGCCTCAATGGTCAACATATAACTGTAATTCATTTGTCTAGCAATAGTTTCACACTAGGATGGTCTTCTGATGCTTCCTCATTTTGTTTGTTTTTATGCCATGGAAAAGTAAAGTTAGAGTTAGACTTTCCTGTAGAGCTTGAGGGCATATGTCATGCCAAAGAGTTGGCCTTTCTTTCTAACAGCTTACTGCTCTATTATTCTCTTCTACAAGATTATACGCTGACTTCTTCCCATACCTGTGGAATGGGAACATTACTTGTTTTGCAGGTTATGTGAGGAAAATTACATTTCGTGAGGACATTCAAAAGATCGACGAGCTAGACAATGGCAAACTACCATAGTTTGAAAGGTCTCAAGCCATTCGGCTGCTGTAATTTCGTAACTGCTGACGAATAGCTTGTGCTCGCAACCTACAAATTGACCAATGATTCTTTCCACTGCACATTCTACTGTTCAGGCACGATACATGGAGGGGTTGTTCTTTAAGCATTGTAAACTTTGCGTTCAAAAAAAAAGTATTGTAAATTTAGCAATGGTGCCTAGTAATTGTACCCCTTTTACCTTTGTTGTTTGCTGACAGATATGATAACGATCGGTACAGAAAAGAAAATAATAAATTTCAAGGGGATTCTTTTCTCTGCTGTATAAAACCTTTTTGGTTTGCTGTACGTTCCCAAGCAGATTCGTATTAGAATCTTATACTTCGCACGTTGGCATGGTCCATCTGTTGCCCTCCTTTCTGGTTTGAGATTGCTTACACTGCAAGCTCTGGAAGAATCCCACATTCTGAAACTTTCTGCAGCTCTCAGGCATATTTATTCTCTCAAACTTTGCTGATGGCAGGCGACCTATAGACTTTGATGGAGGGCCATCACCTCTAGCTAGCCGCAGCAGAACAATTATTCATCGCAAAAAAAAATGTCTCATCTGAGCATTCTCTCCTTCAAGTACAATCTCGCGAAGCTCCGGTCCAAGGCCGGCCGGCCAATGGGGGCCAGGGACCGGCAGTTCTCCGACCTGAGCACCTACAAGCCCGACGACGAGGAGATGAAGAAAGTTTTCAACATGATAGCTAGCCAACCCCGTGGGATCAACAAGACCTCCAGCAGCTCCTGGAGAGGTTTGGGAAGGCGGACGCCGCCACCGAGGCGCGGCGGATGATGTGCGTCGCGGACCACAACAAGGACGGGTACATGGACCTGGAGGAGTTCATGGAGGTGCACCGGAACGGCGTGCAGCTCGGGGACATCCGGCGGGCCTTCTTCGTGTTCGACAGGGACGAGGACGGCAGGATCAGTGCGGAGGAGGTCATGACGGTCCTGCGCAAGCTCGGGCAGAGCTGCAGCCTGGATGAGTGCCGGAAGATGGTGAGGGAGATCGACAGGGACGGCGATGGCTTCGTGGGCATGGACGATTTTATGGTCATGATGACTCGCCCGCGGAGGAAGCCGTGACTGAGCAACGAGCTAGCTAGCTTCCGTGCACATCCTGATGTAAAATATGTCATGCAAATCATATCCTGAATAAGATGATCATATTCAAACCAGCTCTCATTTAGCTTTATCTTCTCTTCTGCTGTTTATCTTTCTGCAGCTTGCTGATGACACGCTATTAGAAATCTAGGGGTCTTCCAAGCCTGGCTGTCACTGCTCTTTGCAGTTGCCCGTTTGCTCTGCACAGTAGAATTCCCGCTGCAACAACAGTTGCTTCTTCATCCGGAAGCACACAGAATGGTTGTAGTACGGAGTAGGAGTAGCGATTACAGTCTTGTCGATGACCTGACAACTTGCAGTGTCTGACGTAGCGAAAGTACTTTTTTTTTAGACGAGCTACCGAAAGTACTTGAAACGAATCGGCCCGTTCGCGTGGCAGAAGTTTAACCGAAACTCGCTGAAAAATACTGTTCCGGCTGAATTATTGTGAGAAAAAAATATTATTCTGGCTGAAAAAAGAAACCGAATAAGTTAAATATGGGGTAAACCGAACGGAACCGTACTGTGCCATGTGCCCATGAAACTTTACCAAAAATTTCAAAGTCAATGCAAGTTTGTAGCGCATGCATGGCAAGTTGAAATCTAACACGGGTTGTCAGTCCCGATTTCTTTTTCCTTTCTGGGCTATCGTTATGCTCTTTTTTACGGTTTTTTGTTGGGTTCGTTTCAACTTTATATTACATTTTCTTTAATAAATATGTACTCCGTGTGTTAGAAAAATTGAAGGCCCTGGCCTCAATCAACCGAACCGTGTCCCTGCTCCTAGTCCCAGGCTAACCAAGGAGAGCACCACATCTAAGCATCCCCACGTAATAGAAAAAGTAAGCCGAAGTGCTACCTGCCCGTGTAACGGAAGGGGAGAGCATACGCTCGCGTCCGCGCCGCCATCCCCCGGCGCGCCCCCTCCCCGGTCTGAGAAGGATGCAAAGCAGCAGAAGACGATGAGGAGACACCAATGTGAGATAGCAGAAGGCGAGGAGGAAGATACAACACCCGATATACTTTTGAAACATCAAAATACAACACTTGCAACATACGTCTGAAGACAGATGAAAAATTTGAAATATGCATCTGAAACATTTAAAAAACACATGAAACACTTGAAAACCATTGCAACACATATGCAACATCCAAGCAAAACACTCGTTACATATGTGTGAAAGATATACAACATCTAGATAAACACACTTGCAACATACGTCAGAAAAAACAGATAAAATATTGGAAACAGACGTTTGCAACATAAGTGTATAATCATTGCGACATATGCAACATTCCGATCTACTTTTACAATATCCCTATAAAACCCTTGCAACATATCTCTGAAACACTTAAAGCATACGTTTGCAATATGCACTTTCAGTGTAGTGCCACATTGCTGCTTTGGAAAAACTTTGCTGGTTCTTTAAAAAAATAAAACGAGTAACAATTTGGAACGGAACCGAGGGAGCACGTTACTTTCTTCAAGCAGCACCAAGCCACCACGAGAAAAACGAAGCGTGTATGGTTGCAGAGTTTAAACGAGGGGGCAATAATGCAGGGCCTCATTTCAGCATCCTATTCCATCTCCTTTTAACAAGATAGCACTATACAGTGTACAGTACGCCCGATTTTCCACTCTTTGCAGATTCCCACATTGTGCGGCTGCCCGTGCATGGTTACCTCTTGCAGCTTATTACACGATTCTATTCCACGACACCATCAATCAGCTGGATGACGAATGCAGAAGCACATATCTTCAGCTTTTAATTTTGTTCCTTTTCAGCCACTTGTTCGGGTGCAGATTCTTGCTCCATTCAACGAGTAGTGCACGAGGATCTAGACGGAATCTGCGTAGAGAATAAGCTAAGGCCTCGTTTAGTTGAGGCCAGAATCGGCGCCGCCGTAGCACCTGTAGCTATAGTAGCTACTGTAGCATTTCGTTTGTCTTTGATAATAATTGTCCAAACGTTGACTAATTAGGCTCAAAACATTCGTCTCGTAAAGTACAACCAAACTGTGCAATTAGTTTTTGATTTCGTCAACATTTAGTACTCCATGCATGTACCGCAAATTTGATGTGACGGGAAATCTTCTTTTTGCATAGTGCCAAATTTTGGATTTGGGTGAACTAAACAGGACCTAAGCTGCAAAAGGTCACAACAAGGCAGGGGTAAGATACAAACAAGCCGTGATAAACGTTACAACAGAAAAAGTGACGGCAGTAGGCGTTGTATAGCACGCGACAGCCTTGCCAAATTGGCTTGCTTATATAAGAGCAATAGGTCTCAACAAGTTGCTGCACACACACATTCAGGCAGGAAGAAAGGGTATAGGTCATTTGCAGAGGAGCCTTTTGTGCTGGTAGTGTTGTGACTTGTGAGCCGCCGCCGCCGCCGCCACCGTGCTCGACTGACCGATGGCGATCAAGAACATGACGGTGGCGGCGAGGACGACGCGGTCGCTGGACGCGGACATGACGGTGGACGAGTTCAAGGAGTGGCTGCGGCGGTTCGACACGGACCGGGACGGGCGCATCAGCCGCGACGAGCTGCGGCGCGCCATGCGCGCCATCCGCGCCCGGTTCACGGGGTGGAGGAGCAAGCAGGGCATCAGCTACGCCGACACGGACGGCGATGGCTACATCGACGACAGCGAGGTGGACGGCCTCATCGAGTTCGCGCAGAAGAACCTCGGCCTCAAGATCGTCGCCTACTAATCTCGCATCTCGCATGGGGGCGCGCGTGGCGGGCGGCGGGCGCTGGCTCGCCATGAGCTAGCTATAGCGACAACAAACCATCACTCTCCCCGCCGGCTAAAATAAGAACAGCTTGATCTATCTCTTCTGTTAAAACTTGCTTTCCATGTACTTACGCCCTGTTCGCTTGGCTTATAAGCCGTACTTTTTCAGCCAACGAACAGTATTTTTCTCTTACAACAAATCAGCCAACAGTATTTTCAGTCATGCCTTATCAGCCAAACGAACAGGGCATAGCCAATTCGAGTTCGAGATCATGTACTATAGCTCTCTATGTTGCTCTTGCTGTGTGTGTATATATGTACGGTGTGTTGTGTGTATGGTACACATGCGTGGCTGCCTGCCTCGGCACATAGCCTAACTCGACGCCATTGGTAGCACGATGACCGGATGCCCGATCAAGAGGCTCGGCAACATGAAAGCGACGAGCGTTGAACGAAGCAAATCGGCCGGACGCAGACAAGAGAGTCCGGTCGAGTACAGAGAGGTTCCAAAGCAGCGAAACTGTGACCGGACGCGTCCGGTGGTAGGTGACCGGACGTTGGCAGCGTCCGATCAGTTGATCGCGGCTCTAACGGTCGGGATGACCGGACGCGTCTGATCAGGATGACCTGAGCGTCCGGTCAGTAGCAGAAAAGCGAGATTTCGTCCCCAACGGCTATTTTCTCAGTGGGGCTTATAAAATAGACCTCCAACCAGCCATTTGAGTGAAGTGGAGCTGAGGAAACATATCAAGGGTGTTGATATACCATTTTAGTGATCTCTACTTGCATAGTGCTTAGTGATTCATTAGGTGATTAACGTAGATGCTTTGCGAAGTGCTTAGGTTAATTAGACCATTGCTTATGCGCTTGCTCTAGGTTTAGGTCTAGTATTTAGTGAGGTTTGCATACCTCTTACCACTCGGTGCTTGCGAGCATCATTGTTGTATATCGGAGGGGCTTGTAGTCTTACGAAATCACACCAACCGCGTTTGTGGTGTGGCCGCCACCGTGTACCGGAGAGAACAAGGCCCACGGCGTTTCGGCCGAAAGCTTGATAGTGAAGACGGTGGGGAGCATCTGGGAAAGGCTTGCCGAAAGGCACGTCGGAGACCAACTTGCGCGTGGGGAAGGCTCGAGGCTATCCATGGAGTTACCCGATCGGGAGCTTAGCCCTTGCGAGGGATTCCTTGCGAGGGGCTCCAACGAGGACTAGAGGGAAGCTTGAGCGCTTCTCGATACCTCGGTAAAAATACCGGAGTCGTCGACGGAAGTTTGCATATCTCTACCTTGCTCTTTAGCTTCCGCATTTACATTGTTTGTATTACTCCTTTTTGCGGTAGAGATAGCAACACACTAGCAAAACCGTAATTGCACATTTAGATAGTTTATCTTTTGTATAGGTTTTGCTAAGGCTAGAAAAAGAGGCCATTGTTTAGAGTTGGAATTTTAAGTCGCCTAATTCACCCCCCCTCTTAGGTGTCACGGTCCCGCCACAAAGCTCAAATGTCGAATGCACATATTAAGACACATAGAAGACTCCCCTAAATCATTTCATCATGTGGGTAAAAAGTGTGTGTGACAAAATAAAGCTGTGATGCATATGACAAGATATATCACACAAGAGTAAATATAAAAGCATTGCATCAAACACTTTCATTCTAGCATGCATAGTCCTATATAAAAATACAACACATGTATATCACATAGCACTCATTACGTATTTTCTCAAGTCCACAAACCACTAAGATAGATTATATTACAAGATAAAAGATCATGTCATATGAGTCTCATATGATACAACCATGAAGCATAAATCTAATCACTCATATGATACAATCTATCTCAAACTCAAGATACATCAATGAAACTTAAAAGATAACTAACTTCAATTTGCGGTACAAGTCTCCAGATATAAAGATAATACATGCCTGTAGTACAAGTTTCAGATACAAAGATAACACATGAAACACATCTAAAGCTTTAATCAGTCTCTCCCCTTTGTTATCCATCACCACAAAGGTCCAACAATGACATAGTAAGCACAAAGGGCTGCAAAGCTGTCTCTAAAGGCAGTGATCACTCATTATCATCATAATCATCATCACTACCATCACCCTCATCATCCGAACGTGGAGCCCTAGCTGAGTGCGAACCACCTCACCAGACGGGTCACCCCTAGTGGTTATATCCACCGTGAGGTCACCCCACCAGTCTAAAGCATACTCATCTGCTGCACTAGG